CCGGCCGCGTGCGGATGGGGCCTGCGCAGGGTTCACGTGGGGATTCCAGGCTATTTATTCTGCTCGGGTAGCTGTCTCCAAACAGCTGCTCCAGATGTGGCGGGCACAAAGGCATCTCACATACAACTGGGAGTCTGTTTGAGGGGCTGGAGGATCCTGGAAGGTGATCTGAATAATTCCAGGCCCAAGAGTGCCCAGAAACCTCCTGTAACATCCTCCTGGCTTGTGCAGAGCCGGTTTTCCTGTGAAGCCAGGGACCGTGTGTGGGGCAAGAGCAACTGGTCGCAGCGCTCGGAGCCTTTGGTGTGGGCTCCTGATCCTCACCCATGGGCTCCCGAGTGCCCTGATGGGGAGAGGGGGGAGAGCAGCCCGGGTCGCTGGCTCCTGCATCTGGTTCCTATCAGTGATGGTCCTGCGCTGGGGACAGACGGTCATTAACGCGGTGTGTGTACACAGCTCCGTCTCGCGCGCACAAAGAGGCGCATTATGCTGCCTGGCAGAGGGCTTGGTGCTGTGGTTTCTTACATAAGGAGGGCGTTTTGTTTGGCCTGCCGGGTTACCTCAGCGCTGCCACTTCGCGCCGCGCAGGGCTCCCGCTGCAGCGGTTCCTGCGGGCGGCAGGAGTTACGCACTGCGCCGCGGCTCCGGCGGCTCCGCGAGCGCATCCCTGGGTGCTGGCGCAGGGACATGCGAACAACGGCGACTGTTGCTAGAACGTTGTGAGTGCAGACAAGACACCCTGCAGCGCTGGCAGAGCAGGGAGGTTGTGCCCGTGCCCTGGCTTCGCCTGGAGCAGAGTCCCCGGCCTCGGCAGCGGCTGTGGGGCAGCCTCGTAGCTCAAACTCAACCGGTTGTGTTTTTTCCTTTGAGACCATAATCCTGCCGCTGTGTTCAGCTATCGAGTGCAGCCCTGTTCTGTGCAGTTTGTGATCCCAGCTCCTGTTGAGCGCTGCGGGTGTTTGGCTGGCACCCTCTCCTGCAGGGTAATGAGCAAAGCGTTTTCTACATGGCTGTTGAGGGGCTGTCTTCTTGCTGGTCCAGAAATCAGGTTCCTACCTGCATTCTCCGTGTCTTTAAACAAAATATTAGTGTTTCAAAAATGTGTGCCTCTTAAAAGGCTTCAGGCTGGACTCATTAGCAGTGTGTCAGTGCTGGGCAGGGTGGCCTAAGCAATGCTGGGTTTTGTGAGCCCCTCTCTCAGGTGGCTCCAGGATGGCAGCAGGGATAGCAGCTCCTGGCAGCTTGCTGCTTAACAGCTGTGATTCCCTCTTCGAAGCAGCAAAACAGCAGGCTGGGGCTGAGGCAGCCCTCAGCACATTTACTTTGCAGATCACCAAGGAGCTGCTGAGCTGAGGAGCACGTGAGCTTGGCACCCGTTTGTAGGGAGTGCGAGACGGGGACGCGCTCAGCCAGCCTGGAGCTGCGTCCCCAGCAGGGCTTGTCCAGGTAGGACGCCTGGCTGTGGTCGCCTTGGGCTCCGTAAATGACCTGTCCTGCAGTCTCTAGATCCACCCAAAAGAGTCGATTATGGAGCATTAACTTCCTCACCAAGATGATCCTTAAGGGGGTTTCCTGAGAGGCTGATCATGGATGTCTATCCTGGTGTTTCTCCAGACACTGACTCGTTCTCAGTCTTATGAGGAGAACTGTGCCTTGCAGTTTTATTTGCTAATAATATCCCTCTCCCAGAGCCTTGTTCTGGGTGTATATCTGGTCCCTGGTGAGGATCGGAAAGCTCCAGTGCTCAAAGCTGTGCTTGAAGTGGGGAGTAGCACTTCCAAGGGCCTGACGTCTTCCTAGAGGCACCCAGAAGTAGGGCTCCTTTTCCATGCATCCTGTGGCATGGACATGCTTGTGTCTTCAAGAAATCTCCGTTATGCAGCTCTGACTTTCTTTTTAGAGGTGTTAATCTCTTTCCATCAGAGATGACCACTGGTGCCCATAGGCCGGTTCTTAGGGTGAGAAAGATCTGGTGTTGCTGACTGGTTGCTTTTACTTGTAAATTTTACCTGTTTGCTGCAAACACGTAGAGAGAACTGTTCGCAGGCCGCAGGAGCAAGGCCAGGAGCTCTGATGAGAGTTAGGTAAACCTCTTGACTGTGTCCTGAGCCTAGTGTCCAAATTCACACCCTGCTTTCGGAGGGCCAACTCTCTTATTTCAGAGTGTAAGACTGCCCTCTGCCCAGACCAGCAATGTGTCAGGCTGCCCACCGGAGTTCTGGGCAGCTCAGGTCTCGGCTGCCGGCTGTTGAGGTTGGGGAAACCCTGTTGAGACCGTCCTGTGTCCCCCAGCTCCGCAGGAAGCCCTGCTGAGCGCGGCGCAGGCCTGTGCTCGTGGTCAGCGTGTGGCCATGGCAGACCAGGACTTAAATCTTACGTGCAGAGGTCTGAGGGTAAGAGTTGTGCAAAGCAGACAAGGGGGATCTGGGCTTGCAGCATCTCCTTCGCTCGCGTTCTGCTGGCCTGTGTCTGTTCTCTTGCCATCCCAGTGTCACAACAGAGGCACTGTGTTAATTTCCTAGGGCTTTCTGTGATGATTAATTGAGGCTGAACATTGAATTGGAAGGGAGACCTGTGGGAGTACAAGTGTGGCAGGAGAACACTTTATCTGTCAGCAGCTGTGCACGAGCCTTTCTCTGTTGTAGAATAAAAGCTGACAGAAAAGCATGGTGCTTCACGGAGGTTTTCTGTTTGCCAGGGCATAAACTTACTTTCATGAATGAATTAAGGTAAAGAATGGTTTTCAGTGTAGCTGCGTAAAACCAGCCCTCCCTATCGCACCAGCTCCCCTTAGGGGCCACCTCTAAACCGAGTGCCTTGTGGACACGCAATGTTTTTGAGAGGTATCTGTCAGCAATGAGCAGGAGGGCTGCCAAGAAAAATTTCAGCCCCAGCCCAAATTCAAAGGCTCCCCTTTAAAGATGTATTAAGAGAAACCAAACAAAAACTACATCAAAAACTCGCAGGGCATAAAACTGACCCTATGTGAAATCTCATACTGACCCTCCTACTTTCTGGAGGAAATTAGGAATTTATGCTCCAAATTTTGACTGTTTTCAGAATGCAAACTGCTGCAGCACCTCTATAATAGTCTTTATCTAGCAAGCTAAATAAACGCTGTGCAGACCTGCTGTCATTCTTTATTTTAAATGAAGGGTAAAACGCTGTAGCTAAGCAATGCTAAGAGCTTGGTTTGCTAACCTACCAGATGCAACGCTCTGGATGCTCTTGGTAATAAGGTGATTATTAATTATTCACAGCTCGCTGATCCATGGGGGAGGCTGGACTGCACAGCTGCAGTCCAAGTGCATGGGAACACATGGAAAGTTTTCATTCAGAAGCTGTTTGGACGTGATGTAAAGTAGATGAAGATGCCTGTGAGGTCTCCTGCTCCTTCTTGGAGCAAGCTTCCCGTCTGGGAGACTACATTGCCTGTGCTGTGACCGTGCTCATGGGAAAGAGCAGAGGGTCAGAAATCCCTTCTGGCTGCGCGTGGCTGCAGTTTGGGAGTCCGTGACGAAGGTGAAGGTGGTGCATGCGTGTCCTAAAGGTGCTGGCCTCTTCCGTGTGCGGCTCCGTGTGGGAAAGGGCCCTCGCCGGTGTCGGGGCCCTTCAAACGCAGGGACTGAGGCTGCAGAAGTTGTCTGGGGATCGCTGGATCCAGCTGAACAGCTCTGCTTCATCCTGGGCTTTATGAGTACGGGAGTTGCTGTGTCTGTCTTGGCTCTCCCCGTGCTCTCTCTAGACAGGCTTGGATGTGCGTGGGTTTCAGTGGTGTCCCCAACATCCACAGGTGTCAGAGCAGTGCGTTTTATGGAGAGACTCCTGCGAGATGCCATGGTGGAAGCACGCGAAGCCGGCTGGCATCAGGAGAGCAGTTTTGTTAGCTCTGCTTGGTCACGGCCAGTTTTGTTAGCGTTGCTTGGTCGCGGCCAGGAGCAGATGTGAAGTGTCTGTCCCGGCGAGCAGGCTGCTCCGGCGCAGGGAAGGGGCCCCGGGAGGCTTGTGTCCTCTGTCGCGGGAAGGTGGCCTTTGGTCCCACCAGAGCCCTGGAGAGGCACCGTGCTCCGTCTTACTGTGCTGGGGCTCGTGTTGTGCCCGCTGAGCACCTCCAAGAGCGACTGCGCGGAGAGGCGGGGGGGG